AATGGCAGATAAAGCGATACATTGATCAGAACCTTGAAATATTAAAGTTAAAAGTATCTTTTTTTTTTTGGTGTTTCGTAGATTATTCCTTTATTAAAGTATAATATATAAATAGACATATTTTAATATGGTATTTAGGTTATAAAATACATATTTCTAAAGTCGTCAATTTCATAACAAAAATGTATAAAAATCAAATTAAGAAGAAAGTGAAATTAACAATAAAATAGTTATATATAATAGTTTCATTTATACAGTTACAGAAAGTCGTGGGTGAAAACAGGTCTGTGCCAGTAATCGGACATTCTTTTAAATAGTGTTGCCAGATACTTCAATGTAATTAGGCAATATTTTTAATATGAAATTTAGAAGACATACTGTTACTAATACTGAAAAAATCTTTATTATAAACTTCACAATTTCCACTAATAATTTTCTTATAAACACTCATATTACGCTCGAAAACTGATTTATTTCGAAAGTTAAAGGGACCACCAACAGTCTCAATAATCAATATCTTTATACGTCAGCAAAGACTAACCATTTTCAAACGATCATAGTCCTATACGTCCGGTAATGGGGTCGTTTACCCTTTAACACAGACACATCGCTATCCTCTCCTCTCTCTCTCTCTCTCTCTCTCTCTCTCTCTCTCTCTCTCTCTCTCTAAAATTCGTTTCGCTCGTTTGAAAAATTTTCGACTTGTTTTCTCTACACACATCTCTCCTCCCTTTCCTGGAATTCGTTGGAAAATGGAAAATGCGAAATGACGTTTGCAGTTTCTATATAAAACGGGTGCAGATAGGTAGTAACTATAGCGCAATCAAGTTAGAGCACCATTCATAGACGGAAGACGATAACATAACTGAAATTCGGTTAGTCGTTCTATCGTTTCGCGAATCACCGGTTTATCACCGACAAGGTGAGAGGGTAAACGGTTATTTCCCTCGCTTCACTTCGCGGTAATCGGTTCCAGTTTCAGCTCTTGCTCGGCGTCAGATAACTGAGAGCGGTAGCGAGGAATAGCGGCGATCTTGGTACGTCGTGGATTCGGTCAATTGTAAAATTAAATGTGATAATAGCCGTTCTAATTCCCTACTAGTTACACTACAGTTAGTTCAAGTGACGTGTATATCACGAGATATCAATTAGCTCTCGATGAAATGATCTATACTAATTGTTCGACTGCTTCGCGGCTTTCAATTGTACCGTTCGAAAGAATTTTGCTGGTTTTCTGCGTCACGAAGTTTTGTTGTAGTAACATAGGAAAAAGGAAATATTAAAATTTTTAAATTCTTTACTTTTTGAATAAATCTTTAATATGGAGCATCTTAAATATAGCGAGTATGCGAATCCTGTATAATATTGGATAAATATTTAGTAAACACACTTTATTGTTTAGAATATTTGTATACATGGTGTGCATTAGAGTGTACTCTATTAGAGAGTACTCTCGAACTTAGAATTAGTGTGACACAGTGTCACACATTCTAAAATTCTATGATTTTTCATTCTTTTTTTGAATTATTGAATTATATACTGGTAGAAATTGGAGGGTTTAATTTAGAGTCTTTCTTCTGAGGCGTCTGAAAATAGGTGAAGTTCGAGAATTTATTTCATAGGCAACTACTAAATGGAAAGTTTCAATTTTTTCAGAGGATATAAACATAACTTTCAGCTTTTTTCTCCAATTTTTGGAAAGCGAAAATGTTACAAAATGGAGGAGTTATTGCAAAACGACTTCTGCTAGGGCATCAATTGCTGGCCGAGAATTTCATCGTCTGAATTAAAAGTTTCTTGTTTATTTACGAATAAAAATATATTATCGATATCTCAGTTATTTAACTTATCAGAAACGCTTAAAGTTGTCTTTTTGGAAAAAAGAGATTCTTCCTCTTTAAACTGCCACCATTTCTGTAATAATTACAATTTCTAGAAAATCTTGCGCTACATCGTAGATAATACATTTTTATTCATAAATGAAAAAGAATTTTTCATTTCGAACGTTTCAACCCTTGTGTCAACAGAACTGCGATGTTACAGTAGAGGTTTCGCAATTAGCGAATAGCTTCTCCATTTTGTAACATTTTCACTTTTTAAAAATTGGATAACAAAGCTGAAAGTGACGTTTATATTCTCCGGCAAAAATTGAAACTTTGCATTAACTAGTTACCTGTGAAAAAAATTCCCAAACTTTGCCTATTTTTAGGCATTTCAGGGCGGTGCACCCTCTTAGTAAGTCAGACGTAGACATTTCTACGCAGCTAAACGATCAACACCCTCGTTTTTCTGAATTCCTACGTGTGCCGCAACATCGTGCATTTAATATCGTACATTGAAATATTTCGAACAACAATGAAACGATGCTGCTCGAATATTTAGATCGAAATGATGCCACGATTCTGTCTGGAATGTTCAATTTATAGTTTCGCTGCTACAATAAAACTGGCACATGTGTCGCCATGACTTTCTCGAACTATTTCTGTTATCCTTTGCCACACGTGTACTATGACTTATATCGTTAATATTTTGTAACAATATCGCGACCTACTTTATACCATTATTCCGATTGCCTCGAAAGATTTGTCGACAGCGGTCGAAAATCCAATACACTTAATGGAAAGTCGAATGCACGTGGTTGATGTACGAACAGTCTCGTTTATTTCAGATCAATCGATCCGGAGATACTACTTCTTTCTCGTCCCAGAAAAACCTTACCGATCGGTGACAAAATTCAGATTGTTACGATGTGATTCGTTTAATTTCACCGGATATAGAATCGTTATGAAATTAAGCCGACAAAACAGCGTTTAACCCCTCGTGTCGTAATATGACCTAAAAGTTACATACCGTGTGTCTATATTTCACAAGTCTCGCTTCATTTCTTTATTGTTGCTTTATTACTAGCCAATTTTTTTACAAACATTAGCCTTCTTTTCTGACGAATGAAGAAAAATCGGGTGTTAAAGGGTTAATGAGATTAATTCAGCCAATTTTTTTAACGATAATTATTAACTTTTGCTTGTCCAAACGAAACATAAAATTCTAGTCAACCGAAATTATTCTTCTGACGAATGAAGAAACATCGGGTGTTAAAGGGTTAATGAGATTAATTCGATCGGTGATTATTGTCGGTAAATTGAACTGAAATCTGTGTTTCGTTGTGTAGTGACAAAAGATGGGCTTCACGGTTATTACGGTATTTGATTACGTAGACTGTACAGATATTTCTTCGATTACAATAATTGCATCGATGATAGCAATCGATTAACAGGGTAACGTTAGTTTTGAGTTACGATCACATTATTCTCTATACCCGCGTTAATTACCGTTTAAATAGTCAAATTACGCGGCGCACACGCGCGGCTTCCAAACGCTCCAACAACCCATCCATCTTAAATTTCACCGTCGTTTAACTCCGCGCGATTCTGTCTAATGGCTCGAATTTTCCATTTTCTCTGACTTTTCAATTTTTCCCGCATCCTCGGAAGGAGGAAAACAATTTCGAAGTTTCGGATATATACTGGCATAAATTAGCATTCACGAATCTTCGCGACGCATAAATTTTCTGATACCATCGTGCTTGGGCAACTTGCTGCAGAAAGAATTGTACTGTCTGCAGCGATGTAAATAGCTGGAGAGACAAAGGGTAACGTTTTTCTTTTGTACCGGACTTGCTCCCAACGGCCGTAATTTGTGATCAGAAAAGATATACCGCGTGTAGAAACGTCACAACTGATTAAAAGTAATATCGCGAAATTTCGTTAAAGAAGTACACATGCTTTCTACTTGTTCTTGTGAATTTCTTTTATCTACTTACGTTGTTTCTTTGTTACGAAGGAAAACTGTGTGAAATTTTCGGCAAATTTCCACGTAACGTTGTAATTTATATATAATGATGTTTGAAAATTTCGTAAATGATAAATAAACATTACCTTATAATTTGATGATTGATATTATTTCACGAACAAATTAACCAAGTAATATTTCCAAATTTACAACAGATTTAACATTTCGGTCACCGTATATACGAAGCAAATAATCAGATAACAAACAGCGATTTAAATGAATTGCAGTGCGTTTTCTTAATTTAATACAGTAAAGAAAACTGTCATAATAAATGCATAAATATTGAAAGGAAAATATATAAGTTTCGAGAATATTAAAATATCATACAACATCGAAGAGTGCTTTAAAAGCCTATCTCTGTTTAAAGTTTCATAGAAAAATATAAATATTTCCAGAAGCGATCGCAAAATAAACCTTCCTGTATAGAATATCAAAATTTTTCGAGATGGTTGCGGAGCCTTCGTTGAACGGGAAAAGCTTAATATCCTCCAGTTTTCCTGCATGCAGGCATGTATCTACCGGGTGTCCCAATTTTTTTTCGATCAAACTTTGCCAGTCTGTTCTACGGGTATAAGTAAGAAAGAAATGTTATATAAACATAGGTCGTTTGAAGCATTATTAGAAAGTTATAACAATAATACGAAATGGTAACGGATGTGAGGTTATGATACAAAACAGAAATAGATCATCGATATGTTCGTCTAGTCCGTTTATGCGAGCTGTCTTTACGATCTGAAGTGGTTGAAGGTGTTGAATTGTAGCTTATCATTCTTGTCTTGTATCCTAGCAACCGCAAGTTTGTTACCATTCCCTTCGTACTTCGTATTTTTGCAATAACTCTTTAACGAAGCTTCAAACGACCTATGTCCATATAACATTTTCTTCTTACCTCCACCCACAGAATATACTGGCAAAGTTTCATCGAAAAAAATTAGGACACCCTGTATATAGAGCCATACCAGCGACGAGAAATATCATAAAGCTAACCACATAATCTGTTCCTCATTGCTGCTTGAATATTGGATAAGTTGAACGGCAAACAGGCAAAATAGCAGGATAATGTCGTCCGCGTCGTTTGGACGAGAAACAAGGAACCCACGCGTCGACAATGAGTAGAAGATTTATATACCGATGGAATTATTATGTTTCAGCTGTACCTGAAGGCAAGCCCGTTATTGTATCGGAACGCGAACGTTACGACCAAGGAGACACTTTGAGGGCAAATTGTAGCTTACCACCCTCCAAGCCACCGGCTCATCTCTCATTCACTCTGAACAACGCAGCGGTAAGTGATAGCTATAATCCACGCGTCATTATCGAATCCGCAGTTAAGGGGAAACCGTGAAATTAATGGTTCGAGAGCGTTTCTATACTGGCTTCAGTGTCTAACGTTATTGATTCTAATATGTGCTTACACGTGTGTATTGTTTTCGGTGAGAGTGTCGTGGAACATGCCTGAGAAAGGGAAATTATTCTGTTTGAACGTGCCGGTACATTCGCGCTCATAAGTATTACAACACTTGCTGAATGTGAAGCATACTGAAATCTAGTAAATTACGCTGAATTCTACGGAAATTTACTAAAATATACTTATTCCATTTGTTATTCCTAACAAGAAATTATTCTAACTTTCTACTTTCTACACGAATATAGCGGGTGTCCTAATACTTATGAACGGCGATGTATGTTGGCTTGAAGAACAGCGATGAAGTAAATATTCGAGAAAATTAATGGATCATTGAAAGTTTACAATCCGTCCTTTATTTATTTAATAATTGCTCGCCTAATATACAGGGTGAGTCACATAACTTGTCCATCCCGAAGAACATCTGAACTACGTGTTCTACAAAAAAGTGTTTTACATAGAAATAGCACGGTATCCAAGGAAACATACGATGCTGAAACAGTTTTTTTAAATAACCTATTTTGGTGGGCGTTTCATTAAAAAAATTCAAGGTTACCTCGATATCGTGAAAAGTGTTACGCAAGGATTTGGGATTTAGTCGAAATTATTAGTGGGCTATAAATGAATGTTCACAATTTTTCCGGATCTTAAGAAACATTGATCTGTAATCGTGCAATTTTTTGCAATTCCTCAAGTTTCTATCAAATTTATACGAAAATTCTTCGCTAACAATACATTGTCGAAGTCACTTTACGTTCCGTATCGTGCAATAAAGTGTTCACGGAAATCGATAGAGCAGTGTACATTCTAAGCGATCTGAAAATTTCACGAAGTAAAATCTTCCCCGAACTATTATACCGTCTACCTTTCTTGACCATAAAACTTTTCCGCTAAACGCTTTTCCGTGTCATCGAAAACAATTTTCACTGGTAACGTTGGATGCTGTGCCTTGTACACATATATACGGGTAAAATAATTGCATAATATACGAAGGAAACGTAGAAGTTATCGCAGTATGAAAGTTTGAGGAGCAAGTCTATAAAAGTTAAGGAGGTTAAGCAAAGAAGAAGAACTTTTCCTCTTGAAAGATCTTTCCGAGGGTACATCTAGTGAGTCTGTGTGTACATTAGACGGTGTCTTCGTTCGCGAAAGATTTGGTTCTCGTAATTTTTAAATCCGTCTCCATCTAAATGATTACCCACAGAGGGAGTTTCCATTTTACATTTCCGCCGTAGTTCGGTCCTTTTTCTTTCATTCCCCTCCCTATCCCCCTTTTATCGACTGTTTCAGGGAAGAATTTTATACCAAAATAGGGGAAAAATATCGTTGGCTAGCTTTTTACCATAATGGAAGCACGAACGTAGCCGTTAGCAACGTGATAATATGTAACGTCGATCGGGGAACAACATCGAGGAATCTTATTATCTGGTGTGGTTAAATACGGATGCGTAAAAAGGGAAATATTCACCTCGTTTTGTCTAAATAATTTCAAGCTAAGCAAAATTTCACGGAAGTTTCTTGATAGTGTGCGTTTTGTTATACTCTACTTTTACCATAGAGCAAAAAACACTTTGAAAGTTTCGAAAAAAATTGTCCCGAAATAAAAATATTTATTGCAACGAATTCACTGTTCGATGCCACTCAAATTGCGTATAAAATATTTTTTTGTATCGTTAAAACTAACTAGAGATAATTAGGTTAGGTGACGCCTGTTTTAGTCGGGGCACGCAGTATATTGACCTTAGCATTGTTTTAATGCGTTATTAAACGAAATATAGGAGAAGAGGTGTTCTCTGGAGAAAGATATTTCAACGATTTATACGTGGAAGCTTGATCTCTTTGTTTATCGTTTCGCATTTTAAAATCAATATATAAACAGATCTTTCGTTATATACCTATATTGTGACACTTTTTTTCTGAATTTCATTAGTGTCATTTACGGTCTCATTTATTACATACAAGTTCACAACAATTTAATTGTTTATTGTACATAATTTATCTAATTGTCATGCATAAAGAAAAACGTAATTATGTAATATACAAAACACGAACCTAACCTTTTTTTTTTATTACTCTGCGTAAAACCTAACCTATAAAACTCAAATAATTTCCATCGGCTTTATTCCTTTGAAGCTTGTTTACTTGAAATGTTAATTGGTCTCGATACATTTATTTCATCTAATTGAACTAACTTCTCTCTTACGTGTGCCTACGTAACTTGAAATTATAGTTAACCGTATCTGCCAATGTTCCACAATTTTCTCCTACGATTCTCACATTTACCGCGGACACGTAATCGTACAGTATAATACACGCAGCAAGATAAAAAGGCAGAAAAATCCGGTAATTTTCGAAGCTACCCCATATAAACCGGGAGGAGTCGCATTTTGCTTCTATCAAATTCCATTACGGGTGGACTTTCAACGAGGCCGTGAAAGGAACGAGCGTTATAGGGAAGGCTGCTGTTTTCTTTAACACGCGCCACTATAAAAAGAGCTGGTGGAATGTACAGTTATGCAGAAAGTCGTTGCTTGGTTTTTCATACGACGAGACGGGGAAAAAATTAGTACTACGCAAAGAAGTGCGAGCTTATAAGGAATTGCGGAGTTGGCTGGCGGGAAGATTGGTTTTGCTGGTTTCTTACGGTTAACGCTGTTTCGAGGAATCCGTCGAATTTCCAGAGAACGTTCTGCGGCTGGCAAGAAATAAGTCATTTCAGAAACAACTCTTCCACGCGGTGAAGCGGTTCTAAACTAAATACACTTCCACCGGTGAAATACACCTACCTAATTTCTCTCCTCTCTCTGCATATTTGGAGGATCGATGAAATAATTTGCCCATTCTGTTTCGGTCAGTTAATTTCCGCGTATTATTCGTGATTATTGCTCGTGAAGAGTACAGCCTTGGCGAAAAGTATCGAGCACCCCGTCAAATATGAAATGTTTAAAAATAATTTTGTAATTTTGTCAATATTTTGTTGAGCCACTCTTTGCCCAAATTTCTTTCTGATTTTTACCCTGTTTTTTAAAAAAATGAATTAACTTGCGTCGATGGTCACTCAAATCACTCGTTAATTACTACGGTAATGAAAATTCAAACGAATGGAATTCAGTTCAATTTCGAAACGAATTTCTAATTATCTCTTTTTTACCGAATGTAAAAATCAGTGATTCGTAATTATTGTTCCTAGATATCAAAATAGTAAGTTACATACTAAGATTTTACAATCTTCCTTGTCGATATATCGAGGACGATAGCCACTGTTCGAATATTAGGCTTAAGGAGAAAAAAATCTATCGATGCCCTGGATTCCTGAGTTGATCGAGCAGCGCTCAATAAATGAAAGGTCTGGCTTCGAATCCCGAACCAGCAATCTGATCGGCCTATTTTTTCTGCTCACAATGAGGACCGTTGAATACAGCTGGCAAACATATACGACATTAATTATAGATCATCTTGTCTTACCTCTATATACTTCCTGCTCCACGTATCACTTTCTGAAGTGACAATTTTTAGGCAGTCGTTGACGTTTCTCGACCTCCTTTTTTCACATCTTTCGAAAAATACATTTTGCAGAAATATTGGAGCCCAGAGGGAATTCAAAATTCATTTAGTACGCAGACGATAGATGTTCAATCGTGGCCGCAAAATCTTTCACTCTGGCGTTTTAGAATTTTTTAAAAAAATTTTTAACACTTAGCCAACCGAATGGGGAGATCTCCCCGCTGTGTAGTAAGTCGCTGCACGACCGACCGGGCAGATTTCCCACTTTTCTCTTAGCAACGCGTTGTCTTTTATCATGTTCGCTTTTTCTCTCATTACCTATAAGTCTGCCTTGAACTGTAGTTGTTCGCAATTCATAAAATACCTTTTCTGCTTTTGTAAAACACAAACAGCGTACGGTCAAGCGATTTATAATCGTTGAAATTCTTTTGTTAAATTGAAAGTGCGCAACGGGCAAAAATGACGAGTTAAATTAAGGTGAAATTGTGGCAAAAGGCGCCAAGGACACAGCGCGAGAAAATATTCAAAGCGACTATAGGCGCCAAGGACACAGCGCGAGAAAATATTCAAAGCGACTATAGGCGCCAAGGCCACAGCGCGGGCAAATTTTCAAAGTGCCGACAGACTGGTGGCAGCGGTGAAAGGGTGAAGTCGCCACCTTTTCCAAAGTGTGTCCCGACATTTTATTTGAACGCGTGAAGCCGAGGTGGGAGGTCCGGCAACGCACTGATATAATAATACAGGTGTTCTAAAACACTCTTTGAAAAGGTCACGCCTTACTAACAGCAGCCTCAGACAGTATTAACTGTCAAAGGGTAGAGTTTAAGTTAATTGCAAGAGAAAGAGGATCTCAAGGGTACGCGATGAAATACAGGAGGATCCTCTTTGGATTATGCTTTCTAAAGGATCGTTTAGGCTGTGCTTTTTAGAAAGTTTTAAAGTAATACATCAGCTCGCGCTAAATGAATACTTCGAATACATTCATTAGTGCCGTGCAAACGAAAGATGGAGGGAGAAATTAACCTGGCTAAGTGATACGAAGAGGGAAACGTTATTGAAGATTGCCTTTATTTTAGGATGGGATGAAAATGTAGGCGCAACAGGATATCGTGTATTTTTCAGAAGTTAAAATGAATTTTAAAAGTTGTCAATAAATATATGAAATATAAGACGATTTTCTTTCTCTTTTTAATGTTAGCGTAAGAATTATTACCTTCAGTTTCACGGTTTTGTGTTTTATTTCGTAAATTTCTTAATACTTTGTTTGTATGTTTTTGAAGAAATTGATTTCGGGTACAAAGTATGTGTAATTTATTTTCCATTTGTTCTATTTAGTAACGAAGAGTGTACAATAAAACGCGACGTTGTTACCTTTT